CCATCCAAACTCCTTGGTCAAAATCAACCTGCTGAAACCAAAGACTGAAGAGCCGAGAATCTGCCATCTTTTTTTTTGAGATGGAGTCTCGCTCTGTCTTGTAGGCTAGAGTGCAGTGGTGCAACCTCAGTTCACTGCAACCCTCCTGGGTTTAAGCGATTCTCCTGCCTCAGCCTCCCAAGTAACTGGGATTACACCTGGCTAATGACACCTGCACCTGGCTAATTTTTGTATTTTTAGAAGAGACGGGGTTTCACCATGTTGGCCAAGCTGGTCTCGAACTCCTGACCTCAAGTGATCCACCTGCCTTGGCCTCCTAAAGTGCTAGGATTACAGACGTGAGCCACCGCACCCAGCCTGTCGTCATTTTTCATTTGTCACTTATTTATTCTCACTCAACAGATAATGCATTGAGCACCTACTATGTTCCAGGCATTGTGCTGGGCTCTGGGGACATAACAAAAAAGAGACATGGCATGTACAAATGCACAGAAAATACTCTGGGAGGCTACACAACCGACTGCCTCTGGGAAGCAGAGGGGGGATTGGGGGTTAGGTTGAAGGGGGCTTTTCTTTTATTTGTATATTCTTCTCTGCGGTTTGAATTTGTAACATCTCACTTGTGTAAACAGCAGGAACAAAACAGGCATTTTAAAATATTTTATTTATTTATTCATTATTTGAGACAGGGTCTTGCTCTGTTGCCCAGGATGGAGTGCAGTGGCATGATCTCAGCTCACTGCAATCTCCACTTCCTGGGTTCAAGAGATTCTTGTGCCTCAGCCTCCTGAGGCTGGATTACAGGTGTGCACCACTAGGCCTGGTTAATTTTTGTATTTTTAGTAGAGATGAGGTTTTGCCATGTTGCTTAGGCTGGTCTCGAACTTCTGGCCTCTTTGGCTTCCCAAAGTGCTGGAATTACAGGCAAGAGCCACCATGCCCTGCCGAGGTATTTTTTTTAATTCAAAATTTGGGCCTCTTAGTAGGGGAATCCAAGAGTCCTAATTCTTTGCTGACATCAGAAAAAGGGAATCAGCCTCTTGCCCCATCTAATGTTGCAGTGGCATTCGTGGTTCTCAGCTTTCACTTTCTGTGCCCAAAGCAGCACAGCATCACTACAGCCCAGGGAAGCAGGACTTTAGGGTTCAGGTTCTCCCTCTCTGCCCACCTACCCCCTCTACAAGGTGGATGAAGAACGGAAACAGGGACATGTTTTTCAAAGGTATTTCATGAATCTCTCCAGCCGCGAGCTTTAGCTGTGAGTTAGCATCTGAGAACATTCTTCATGAACCAAGTTTGAAGGAACACATCCCAAGGGCGGGGCAGTGGCTCACGAGTGTTGATGGACTTGATGTTTTAAAAATAGTTTTAAATTGCACAATTACTACTTGCTGCTTGTAAAAGAAAAAACAAATCCTATGTATAAAAAATATATCCCACTGCAACCTCAAATTCCTGGACTTGTGCAATCCTCGCCTCAGCCTCCCAAAGTGCAGGGATTACAGGCACGAGCCATAGCACCTGAGCTCAATTCCTTCAGCTTTCTGATAGTTCCCTGCTCATCATGCTTCACTGTTTGAGACATGCTTATCACTGTCCTTGGTCTGGTGTAGCCCCTTTCCCCACCTAATTATGCTTCCTTTTTCCAAATATGGAAAAAGCGTGCGTGTGTGTGTGTGTGTGTTTTCAAGGCCTCGATCAAATCCTGGGTCCACTCTGAAGCTTTCCTGGTGATTGTAACCCCATCCTGACTTCTGGGCCATCAGTTCACTTCCAGACGTTGGTCATTTATAGTACTGGCCTCTGGCATGGCATATCTTCCCAATAAGCCTGGAGGCAAATTTGAAGCAGGCACCTGGCCTTTTCTGGTGCAGATAACCATGCTTAGCATGAAGTTCACACACTCAATAACACAGTAGGTACTTAATAAGTGTTGCTTTCTCTCCTTCCGTTTCACCTGTGCCTAAGGCAGCATAATTATTTCAGGCTGATGCTGCAGGGCTACACTGACTTGCATTCTGTAAATTTATGGCTAGACACCAATGGTGATGTTTAGGGGTTACACAAGCTGGTTTCATAAATTCAATTCAGCGTATTTATCCATTAAGTTGATTGATGACTCTAATTCCATATTCTATGAAAATATATGCTACACAACAATGCAGAACTCCTAATGTGTTTGTGCCCTCATGAGATAGGAGGGGAACGGGCCTGGCATGGTGGCTCATGCCTGTAATCCTAGCATTTTGGGAGGCCAAGGTGGGAGCATGACTTGAGGCCAGGAGTTTGAGGCCAGCCTGGGCAACGTAGCAAGACCCTGTCTCTAAAATAAAAAATAAAAATAAAAAATTAGCCAGATGTGGCAGTGCCTGCCTATAGTCCCAAGCTAGAGGCTGAGGTGGGAGGATCGCTTGAGCTCAGGAGGTCGAGGCTGCAGTGAGCTATGATGGCACGGTGGCAGAGAGAGACCCAGTTTCTTTAAAAAAAAAAAAAAAGCACTGGGCGCGGTGGATCAAGCGTGTAATCCCAGCACTTTGGGAGGCCAAGGCGGGTGGATCACAAGGTCAAGAGATCGAGACCATCCTGGTCAACATGGTGAAACCCCATCTCTACTAAAAATACAAAAAATTAGCTGGGCATGGTGGCACGTGCCTGTAATCCCAGCTACTCAGGAGGCTGAGGCAGGAGAATTGCCTGAACCCAGGAAGTGGAGGTTGGGGGTTGCGGTGAGCCGAGATCGCGCCATTGCACTCCAGCCTGGGTAACAAGAGCAAAACTCCGTTTCAAAAAAAAAAAAAAAAAGCAAAAGGTCTGAAGTCACCGATTTGGGTCCTTGTGACTGTCAGCTGATGTAGACTGGGGTCCATGTGTTTGTGACTCATCTCTTTCATGCTGTCAGATGTATCGGTTACGGGCCAAGGAAGAGGCAGAGAATATTTGTAGACTCAGTAATCAGAGGAGAATTTAAGAACGGTTCAATGGCAAAGGCGTGGGCAGGGTTTTGGAAACCAGTAAGAATGAATGCAGTACCCCAGGCTTGGCCATAGAGAGGAGCTGTTATCACCCTGACCTGGTGCCAGGGAAAGGAATGGTACTTGGAGTCCCCAGGAGGGTGTCACTGTACCAGAGTCCAGGCAGGACTGTGGCCAACCTCTGGCTAGGGGGAGGGGAGCTGGGGAACAGACACCCAATCTTACTTTCCCATGAGTGCCTCCTGTTGGTCAAACCCAGAAGGAAGCCAGTAGTCAAGGATACCAGCTGGTACAGTTCATACAAGTCAACATCTCAGACTTTTTCAAACCCAGAAGTCATAAAGTGATCTTCCTCCCAATTTCTCTCCTATACCACTTGGTGTGTATTACTCACATAGTCATTCTTATGCCACCTGCTTCAGAGTCAGGTGTGATATGTTCTTATCTCCCTCGCTAACTTAGAGCTATAAAATCTACCATTTTAAGGCTGGGCACAGTGACTCATGTCTGTAATCCCAGCACTTTGGGAGCACAAGTGGATCACTTGCAGTCAGGAGTTCAAGACCAGTCTGGTCAACATGGTGAAATCCAATCTCTGCTAAAAATACAATAATTAGCCAGGCATGGTAGTGTGTACCTATAATGTCAACTACTTGGGAGGCTGAGGCAGGGGAGTCACTTGAACCCAGGAGGTGGAGGTTGCAGTGAGCTGAGATCATACCACTGCACTCCAGCCTGGGCAACAGAACAAGATCTTTTCTCAAAAACAAACAAACAAAAAAAGCAGCTACCCTTTTAAAGTGTACAAGTCAGTGATGATGTGTATATTCATAGAATTGTGCAGCCATCTTCACATTCAGCTTTGGAATATTTTTGTTTCCCTAAAAGTGACTGCCCATGAGCAGTCACTTCCTTATTCTTTCCATCCACCCCAGCCCTAGGCAACTCCCATTCTCCTTTCTGTCTCAGAAGATCTGCCTTTTGTGGACATTTCATATAAACAGAGTCACATAATATGTGTCCTTTTGTGTCTGGCTTCTTTGACTTAGCATGATGTCTTCAAGGTTCATCCATCTTCAAGTATCAATACTTCATTCCTTTTTTTTTTTATGGCTGAGTAATAGTCCATTGTACGGATAGACCACATTTTGTTTATTCATCAGTTGATGGACATTTGGGTTGTTTCCATATTTTGCTATTAGGGGTAATTCTGCCATGAGCATTTGTGCACACATGTTGTGCCTTCTGTTTTAGATGCTCTTGGATATGGGCTGGTTTTTCTGCCCTGCCTGGGATGCCTCATTTTCCTATCCTGGTTAGCTTCCTGGCACTCTTCAATAGCAGAGGTCTGCCGCTCTTGCTGAGGAGTCTTCTCTGTCACCCTTATGAGCTGTCTGCCCTGGGCTTCCACAGATCATGTTTTCCTGGATTGCATATGCTCTTGACATGGGACTATCATTATCCGTTTCTTCCCATCTCCCTGTTGGCTCTGAGCCCCTCAAGGGCAAGAATTACATCACTGAATCTGTAGCCCCTAGTATGGCACTTGGCATATTTGGGAATGAATGAATGAATGAATGAATGAATGAATGAACGAACAAATGAAAGAGAACAGAGACTGCCCTACAACTCTCTTTCGAAGCTGGGTCTAAGAAATGAATAGAGGAAGGTCCTATCCTGAATTTAGAGAAGTAAAAAGGTCGTGTGGCTCTAGATTCTTCTTTTCAAAAAAATCTCTGAAGATGCCTATGTAAATATCTAGGTCTAAAAGCAGAGAGGGGAGTGTGTGTGCGTGCACAAATGTCTATTTGGGTAAGCCTGCTAAATAGACAGAGACTCTGGTAAGGGGAGGAGTGCCAAGACTAGCTTTTGAGGCATCCTTCCTCCAAAACCAGAGCTTTGCATCCAATAGCTCTCCCCTCCCCCACCCTCCCGACATCCGGGGCTGACTGTGCAGAGGCCCACTGCACTGACGTCACCCCCAGCAGCTGTCTGCACTGACCAAAATGCCAATCTTTATTTCTGCAGGTTGGTGAAAACCCTGTGTCCTTGGAGAAAGCTGGTTCCCGTTTTCCAGAGGGGGAGCCCAGAGCTTGAAAGGCCGCGGTTGGCACTTCGAGAAGGAAGTGGAGAGTAAAGACAGCGCCTGGAGCGATCGTAGAAACACAGAATGGGACTGGGGAAGCCCTTTGGAAATCCAGCTGCAGAAAAAGACACCCCAATGCTATTTACATACAGCTCTATATATATAAAAAAAAGAAAATATGAATATTACGTTATCAGTGCATGCCTTGTTGAGGACGTGGTCGCCTTCCTTTTCTGCACCTTGCGATGTGAACTTTGATATTCTGTAATGTCTGGGGCGCCAGAAAAGAGATGCCTGTTGTGTACTTAGAAACTATTTTCGAAGACTGGTGGGAATTAGCCCCAGCATCGGCCAACTCCCTGGGGATAGATGTTGGTGGAATGAGAGGTAACAGTGCAAAAGGCATGATAGAAAGAAAAAAAAAAAAAGTGAGGACTTGGGGCCAGCGTGTAGGAGAAGTCTGGGATGCCTCCATTTCTTGACATGTCCTAGCCTCTCCCTCCGTACTGTCCTTGGTCGATCGCTAGATCCCACTGTGATGTCAAGAGAAATGGGATTTTTGCGTCTCTGGTGCTTCACTTAAAATTTTGCTGGTGCTAAGTGCGTTCCTGCTGGTGCTGCTGTGGTATTTTGTTGACACCTGGAAGAGCAGGGGACAAGAGAGATTTCTATTTTGCTGTTTCGGATTTTTTTTTTAAGGGACAAGTTGCAAAAGTGCCACTTGAGAGTCTTTTCTCTTTCTCTATGTGGGGACGAATATCCAGAGGTGGTTTGGAGCAAACCTTGGGGTCTAGGAGGGAGGATGGTGTTGAGAGGCTTGCTCGTTATGAGGCAGAAAGCTGACCTCATGCATGACTTGGTTGCTGTCTCCTCCACCCCCAGAAAAGTGTCCTCGGAGTTCAGCCCACAGCCTCCTCCACTCCCCAAGGGGGTTTCAGGGCTTAGGTTTTATGGATTAAAGAGCCAAGAAATGGCTACATTCTGGTCAAAGATGATTTATAACCAGGGGACGTTGGGGGAGGAAACAGGCCATTGAAATGAAATGCACCAGCATCTCACTGATTGACAGAGGTCTGATTTTTCCCCCCAAGGATAAGCTACTATTTTCAGAAGTTTCTAGAAGGGCTAAAAAAAAAAAAAAAAAGATGTGTGTTGGACAGAGACTTGGCTGTAAAGACTCTTCAGGGAGCAGTGATTATTTTTTGCTTTCATTTAAAAAAAATCCAACATAAGCAGGTATTCTTCCTCTGTGCAAGATACCATACACTGCCATTTTCAAAGCGGAGGTGGCAAGATGTCAGGCTGCAGATTCGGACAGTCATTCTCCAAGGCTGGATTTGCAGGTCACCACCTGGTACCTACAGACAGAGGGTCCAGCAGGCTGGTTAACAGACACCTCTCCAGTTCTAAGAAGCCAGCAGTGGGATCCACGTTTGTTACAGTGGATGCAGCTGAAATGGGAATCATCCCCCCATACGCTTTGCTTTAAATGACCAGGTCCTTTAGAATGTACAACCTGTTAGTGCTGCTGCAAGCTGGCAGCTGGATTTCTTTCTGTCTTCTTTTAAAAATCCATTCCTTATGTTTTCCTAAATGGCCCTTTAAAAAGAAATGCAACCCTAGGGCTGCTGAATGCAAGGGAAGGCTCCCACCCCACAGCTTTGCACTCAGCAAAGCAAAAAAAGAACCCTTATTTTGGGGGGAACGTGTTTCTCCTCATCACTCGTGCCCTCCCCCTAGTTGATGTTTGTAGGGGACCCTGGCTTAGGTGGGGGCTGCAGAGAGCAGCGGGCAATATTCCCACCAAGCCACAAACTGAGAGAAGGCAAATTCATTAGAATAATATAGTCTCTGCTTGTATTTCATCACTTTCTTAGCCAGAGACTAGGGTCTTTCCAGCTCACCCCATTTTCTGGGAAGGGGTTTTAATGACTACACAGTTGTATCCAGTCACAGTTCTCTGCTCCTTTAAGGCTGTACATTCACGATCATGGTGGGGGCATGCCGACCACCTAGACACAGGAGAAGATGAAAGGTGAGAGGATCCCTTTTTCAACCCCGACTTGCTTACTGGCTTTTGATGTTTTCCTCTGGAGGATCCAAACTCTGAACGCTGGGGTTGGCATTTTGGGTGATTTTGATTTCAATGAAGCCACTTTGCTGAGAGAACCGGGGCACCCATTACCTCCTAATAGAGCTTCCCAGCCAAGCCCCTTGTAGACATTCTCCTGTTTTATTAGAGACCATGTGTTTATTGAATCCTGGCCTTTCCTTGCACATCATTCATTGGAGTGCACTTCTTGACCGCCCCGATTTTTGACAAGGGGTTGTTTTTAATGCTTGTTTTTATATGAGATTTGACTTCTTGATGGACATTTGTATTAGGAAATTGAAGCATGATATATATGTATATATTGTCTCCACCGTCTCTCCTGTTGCATTACTTGGATTGCATGAGATAGTGGGGTGGTTCTTGTTTTTTACAAAATATTTCCACAGTGTGCAAAGTGCTGGCAACATCCCTCCCTCTCCCCCACCCCCCACTTTTCTCTGGCTGCCAAGGAGTCATTGATTTTGATTAGCTTCACTGCAGCGCGTCTGTGAAGAGAGAGAGAGAGAGAGAGAGAGAAAGGGAGTGAGGGAGGCTTTGAAATAAATTTTAAAAAAGACCTCATATCGGGTTTCAGCAGACAGCAGTGTGTGCGTGTGTGTGTGCGTGTGTGTGTGTGTGTATATGTGTCAGTACAAGCAGAGGGAGGCCTCTGAGATCATCGTTTAGGTAGCTTGCTGCATAATGAGATAAAGAGACTTTTGCCTCTTCCTTTCTGATGGTGCTGCTTGCTCTCAGAGTGGGGAGCCAGTAACCTCAGGGACTGGAGCCCCCAGGACTTCAACACTCTGAATGAGATCCAGTCCTTTTTGGAAGCTTCTCACCTCCACCCGATCCCCCACAAACAGATACAATCTCTTCAGATTTGGAGGTCCCTTTCCTATTCTCTTTGTAATTGGTGTAGCTTGAGTAGGAAGTTTCTCTGGGGAGTCCACTAGCCCCACTGGCTGCTGTCCATGGTCCTAGGCCGTGCCCATCTCCTAGAGCCCGTTTCCTTGTTTTGTTTTTATTTTTTTTTAAACCACCTTCATTTGGATACTGGGGACTTCTTTTCCATTTCTTCTTCTTCTCCTTTTTTTGAGACAGAGTCTCACTCTGTCGCCCAGGCTGGAGTGCAGTGGCACGATCTCAGCTCACTGCTACTTTTGCCTCCCAGTTTCAAGCCATTCTCCTGCCTCAGCCTCCCGAGTAGCTGGGATTACAGGCACCCGCCACCATGCCCAGCTAATTTTTTGTATTTTTAGTAGAGATGGGGGGTTCACCATATTGGCCAGTCTGGTTTTTGAACTCCTGGCCTCAAGTGATCCACCTGGCTTGGCTCCAAAGTGCTGGGATTACAGGTGTGAGCCACTGTGCTCAGCCTCCACTTCTTATTTTGATTCTTGTCTGTTTTGATGGTGAGGGGAAAGGATGATTTAAACAATACTGTCACACAAAAATGAAACTGTGACTGGTTTTCACAATGTATGTAGCTGATCTCCTGTTCTATTACGTTTCTGACAGCAATACAATATCACTCTGCCTTGCTGGGGCATTAGAGGAGTCCTCACCCACCCACCTCCTACACAAGTATCTTTTAGAGACACTGGCTCACCATTGTGGACTTTTTGAGTGTCCACCTGGTATTACAAGTTGCATTGACCGGAACACAAATTTTGTGGTTCTGTGTCAATATCCATTTCTTTTCTGAAGGTCAGAAGTTGGTCAGGGTTTGTGGGGCCGACTAGACACTCTGCTTAGTCCCATAGGAGCTGACTGGAAGTTCTGTAAGGGGAGGAAATTGATGTCAAAATGTCATTTTTAAAGCTTAAGCTGTAAATTTATTTTTCAAATTTTCATTCATTCATTCACTTAGCATCTATTTATTGAGCATCTACAATGTGCCGGGTTGTAGAATTCCATTGCAGAAGAGACTTGACTTATGGATGGTGGAGGGGCAGTCCTGCTTGGGAACAGATGACATGAAATATCCCTTTCCAGTCTGGTTCACAATGTTTAACAGATTTGTCAGGTCACCACTGTGACCCCAAGCCTTGCTGGCAGATTGTTACATAGTATTTACTGAGATCCCTGCTATCTGGTAAAGGCAGTTAAAAAGCCTGCAATCTCATTTCCAGCATGAACAGACTGGTCCTTGCTGCTTTACACGATAATCAAAGCTACCTTTCATGTGTGCTTGCCACTCCCAAGCACAGGGTGACGTGCTTTACCCATCTTCCCCTCTGCGATGCCGCACGCCCACTTTAGCATATAGTATTGTTATCATTCCCATTTTACAGTGGAGGAAGCTGAGGCTCAGAGAGGTTAAGCAGCTTAGCTGAAGGCCACACCACCAGCAAAGTACCTGAGTCAAGATTTGGACTCGAGTCCATGGGACCCCCAAGCTCACGAGCTGACTGCTCTGCTCCACTAGATTCCTTCATGAGGTCATTCAACGGCACTGCTAAATGGAGGGCGAGCACCAGCACCTGGCCCTGCTGAGAGCCGGGAGCCTGACTTAGGTCTACTGGAAAAAGTGTCACCTCCGGGGACACTCAAGGGCAGGCTGGTTGGTTTAGTTGTGGATTTTATGTACTCCTGCCTTACCCCTGTGCTCCTGGTTTCTATAAGGTTCCGGGGAGGTGCATGGAATTTGCAAATAGGGCCTGTGTGACTTATTTTCTAGGACATGAGAAGCTTTTCTTACCTCCTTCCTACCCTCTTTTCCAACCTGAACTCCCGAGTTCCTTCTCCCCAAGGTCTTTTGCACTATAAGCGCCAAGGAGCCTGTGCATGTAGCAGGGACGGCTGGAGGGGTATCTGGAGAACTTTGGTGGGGCCTCTGGCCTAGCCAGAGAGGCGGTAAGCTTGGGGACGTTCCGTTCTGGGTTCTGACATTGCTGGTTCTGACGCTGTCGTGCCCTTTTGTAAGAGGAATTTCATACCTTGGAGACGCTTTGTACATATTTGTAATGACTTTATTAAAAAATTGGTTGTGCACTTCTAGCCAAAGACATTTGCATTTTCATTTCCTTTGGGAAGGCTGGCCCTCGCAGACTCTGGGAGTACCCGGCCACACAACAAGGACAGGATCCCTGCCCCTGGCTCCTGCATGCCCCAATGTTCCTTCAGGAAGAAGGCCACACACTTCCTTCCCTCCTCTAATTCCTAAGAACACCCCCTCCCCTGAAGGGAAGGACTGGCCTAAAGAATGCCCTAGGGTTGGGCAACAGCTTTGGGAAATTTACCCAACAGTTCAAGGTCAGTGCACACAACCATAATTTATGCGTGGTATGCTGTGGACAAGCCAATGAGCCTGCAAATCCATGTCTCTAACTGGACAACTCGGGGTTCTAGTCTTATCCTAAGAATGGGAGGTTGAGTACAGATTTTTTTTTTCCCTGGAGACAGAGTTTTGCTCTCATTTCTCAGGCTGGATTGTGGTGGTACAATATTGCTCACTGCAACCTCTGCCTCTTTGGTTCAAGCAATTCTCCTGGCTCAGCGTCCTGAGTAGCTGGGATTATAGGCATGCGCCACCATGCCAAGCTGGTGTTTGCATTATTAGTAGAGACAGGGTTTCATCATGTTGGCCAGGGTGGTCTTGAACTCCTGACCTCAGGTGATGCACCTGCCTTGGGCTCTCAAAGCGCTAGGATTACAGGTGTGAACCGCTGGCCCCTGCCCAGGTTGTTTTTTTAGATACTAGACCTTCTCTTTTCCTTTGGACATCCAGCCCTGCCCCACTTTCAGTCTACGTGACTTAGAGGGGCTGACTCCATTCTCTCACTACCTCAAGAGGTCGACAGCTGACCCAGGCCTGGCTGGTGCTCCACATCTCACTGGCTGAAGTAATTGGTTTGGGGGCAAATGAGAGTGAGTCGTGGGACTCTGCGTGGAGCTTTCGGGATGCAGATGTTCTCTTTGCTGGGGTTGGTAAGCTGTTAGAATATCAGCACAGAACGACTGCCGGTTACCACCACATGGGTCCAATTGCCCAAAAATCAAACTGTCTCAGAGGAAAACAGGATTGAGGGATGGAGAGCACAATTCTTTTTTTCTTTCAGAGATGGGGTCTCATTCTGTCACCCAGGCTGGAGTGCGGTGGCGTGGTCTCTGCTCACTGCAACCTTCACCACCCGGGTTCCAGTGATTTTTGTGCTTCAGACTCCCGAGTAGCTGTGATTACAAGTGTGGGCCACCATGTGCCTGGCTAGGTTTTGTGTGTATGTGTGTGTGTGTGTGTGTGTGTGTGTGTGTGTTTTAGCAGAGAGGGGATTTTTCCATGTTGGTCAGGCTGGTCTTCAACTCTTGACCTCAAGTGATCCACCTCCCTCAGCCTCCCAAAGTGCTGGGATTACAAAGTAAACCACTGCACCCAGCCGAAAGACACAATTCTGTATCATCACCAGGAGTCTCTGAATCCAGCTGTACCTGAAGCCCATGAAGTTTCATAAACCAAATAAAGTCTTTCTTTTACTTAAGCCATATTTGAATTGGTTTCCTTTTCTTTTTTTGTTTTTTGAGACAGGGTCTTGCTCTGTCGCTCAATCTGGAATGCAATGGCGTGATCACGGCTCAGTGCAGCCTCCACCTCCTGGGCTCAAGCGATCCTCCCACCTTGGCCCTCCAAAATGCTGGGATTACAGGCCTGAGCCACCGTGCTTAGCCTTGACAGCAACCCAAAAGTTCGGCCTGACGATGTTTTTGTGGCTGGTGTCCATAACGTTGCCCTGAGAGGCATGTACTGTCACCTTGTGCTATTAATCTACATTTAATTATCTATCATATTATGGTGCCCTGGAAAACCCTTCTTGAATCAGCCTATACATTCCTGGTCTGCATAACCTCTAGTTAGCCCCCGTAGTAGACACTGTAGGTGCTCCTCGGAGGCCCTTTCGGATCCCTTTTGCCAGGTTCCTATCCTGCAGTTTCGTGTGCTTTGCTGGTATCTGAGACCTTCCAAGGCTTGCCCTTGGACACTGGGGCCTCCTTTGGGGAGAATGTGAAGTGCCTGGGAGGTCCTTCCATCAACACAGCACCAAGGATTAACTGGTGTGTATTCTGTGGGGCACGACAAACTCTGAGATGCAACTTACTCCTGAGCTCCCTGGGGGATCTGGCTAAGACTGGGACTTTGCTGGAGCTTGGCTTCTTTCCCTTCCCTGTTCTGTTTCACTCATGATTCCCTTACTGGTTTCTTGTGGGAGCACTTCTGTAATAAATCACATGCACCTGAACAGGATCTGCTTTAGGAGAAACCAACATAAGACAACCACCCCCTCCGCGAAGGGCTTCTTCTCCTTTGATCTAAAACACTTGGCTTCAAGAGGTGACAGGAGAGTCAAGACCACAAACCCAAGTTGCATCAACAGATGGTATTTATTGGCTGAACGGTACTTCGGGAGACATTAAAAACACCAAAGGCAGCTGTTTGTCCAACAGCAAAAGTCCTAAAAGATTCCAGGACCCACTTTATTGACTCTCCTTCTAATCTCGAGTCTCAGCATGCTGGATGTCTTCCTAACACTGCACATCATTCTTCTCTTCAGAAGCTGATGCACCTGTCGTATCTGAGTCAAAAGCTTGTCTTTCTTATTCCCTCACATTTATTATTCTCAAGATCTTGTACATGAAGAGGACCATTTCTAAGGACTTTGTGGAACTTGAGTCAGTGAATCATAAAATATTAAGAGCAGGATACTGTGAACCTGATACTCCATTAATCCTACTTACAACAAATGAGTTGCAGAACAAAGATACATAAAAGAGAGTGGCATTGTTCTTTTCCAAAAGGGACTCCTGGCTGCTTTTGTGCTGGTGTTGGGGAAACTACGCAGCCTGTGTTGGGAACACTCCTCATCAGACACTGTTTTCCCTAAGACAGAAGTTAAATCCTCCCACCCAGAAGAAAACCTCAGAAGGGACGTTCCCCCAGAGAGTAGGGCATGCATTCATAAAATCCTAAACTATACCATCGCATCTGCCTGTGTGTCCCCGACATGTTACATTCTTTACAGTGTTAGAGGCATGGCTCATTATTTGCAGTGTTAGAGAATTTTATTGTTTTGGTGGCATGGACATAATTGGAGAAACCACTGGGGTATTCACTAGTAACCTACATTGATAGTTTCCTTGGTTCCAGCAGGTAATACACTAGGTTCCATCAGGCTGGAGATGGCTACAGGGAGGCCAAGTGGCTTTTCAAAGTCATGCAGAGTTTGGAATCAGAATTCCAGGTCTGACTCCCAGCAGACTGTTCTATCTATTTCCTTACACACCTGCACTTTAATCAGCCTTCTCCAGCTCCAATTTCTTGTGCCTCTTTGATAGCATCTGCAGGCAGGATGATCTTTTCGATAAAAGCCAGTTGCAGAAGTGCCTGTTGCTTCCCTTCGGTTCTTCCTCAGGGCAGGGAGAAGAGAGCAGCCGCATCCACCTGGCCCTGTTTCCCATCGCTTCCCCTTCCCACTTGATTATTCAGGCAAGTGGGATTGTAACAGCATGGCCATCGCCATAGTAACAGAGCTTGAAAGATGCTACACTGCCCTGGAAGAGACGTCTTGCTGGGTACCAGGAGAGAGCCAGGGATGCCATGCCAAGGGAAAAGTCCTGGCCTTGTGACACAGGAGTGAATGTCCTGAATCTATTGGGGGGGGGGGGCGGGCGCAGGGGACATGTTAATACTGTCTGACAGCGAGGTGGCTGCACAGCTCCTCCATTTCTCCTGGGGCTTGCATGCTTATCTGCCCACTAGCCACACAGATTGCTTTCTCTGTAATGCCATTGGTGCCAGCCTGTTGTGCTGAGGTTGACAATAAGAGAACAGAGTTGGGAGAGAATAGCGCAGGCAAGATTCCAGTGGCTTCTGTGTGGTCACCTGTGCTATCTCATCCCAGATTTCAGAGCAGGGAGAGTTTCAGAGGTGGAAAAGTGGCTCTGTCAGAGATCACAGAAGCACACAGATGGAGACGATGCTCTGAGCCACCACCCTGGTTGGTGGAAACATCCATAACATGGGTTGTCCCGTTTGCTCTGAAGGCTACCAGAGGGGATGGCAATGTCCCCAGGAGCCGCTGACAGGCCTGAGACTTAAGTGAGGATGACGACAGAATAGAAAGAGGAGGAAAGATATAAAGACGGGACGCCAAGTGGAACCCACATCTGGGCCAAAGCTGATCTTTTTTTTTAGACAGAGTCTCACTCACTCTGTCACCCAGGCTGGAGTGCAGTGGTGTGATCTTAGCTCACTGCAACCTCCACCTTCTGGGTTCAAGCAATTCTTCCGCCTCAGCCTCCAGAGTAGCTGGGATTACAGGTGCCTACTACCACACCCAGCCAATTTTTGTATTTTTAGTAGAGACAGGGTTTCACCATGTTGGCCAGGCTGGTCTTAAACTCCCGACCTCAAGTGATCCACTCACCTCAGCCTCCCAAAGTTCTGTGATTACAGGCATGAGGCCCCATGCCTGTCAGAAATGGGAATTTTAAGGGCTACATTTTTCTGTGGACCTAGCCGCAAGTAGATTTCAGGATCTAGCATTCAATGTTTTCAACATAGTTCATATCTAGCATGCTATGTTCCTGGACCACTGATTCTTAACCTGGATGAGTATTAAAGTCACCTCATGTGAATTTATTTATTTATGAGAGAGTCTCACTTTGTCACCCAGGCTGGAGTGCAGTGGCACAATCTTGGCTCACTGCAACTTTCGCCTCCCGATTTCAAGCACTTCTTCCTGCCTCAGCCTCCTGAGTAGCTGGGATTACAGGCGCTCACCACCACGCCTGGCTAGTTTTTATATTTAGTAGAGAGGGGGTTTCACCATGTTGGCAAGGCTGGTCTTGAACTCCTGACCTCAGGTGATCCGCCTGCTTCAGCCTCCCAAAGTGCTGGGATTATAGGCATGAGCCACCACACCCAGTCTCTCCTGTGCTTTTAGAAAAGCGTGTCTGTTGGACCCCATGCCTGGAATATCTGAGGGGCAGATCAGTGAGGCAGTTAAGAGTGCGGGCTCTGCTGGGCAGAGTGGAGTGTGCCAGAGTTGCAGCTACTTGGGAGGCTGAGGTGGGAGGATCACTTGAGCCTAGGAGACTGAATCTGTAATAAAAAAATTTCTTTAATGTGGGTTCTGAAGCTGTACCAGGCCTCTGTTGGAAACTTGGCCCACCCGTGCTGGCTGGGAGAGTCACCACACTAAGCTGTGTGCCCCTATTTCCTCATCTGTAAAATGGGGGACCCAACATACCTCCCCCATCACAAGACTGTTCTGAAGATGACAGCACAGAATCCAAGCAGGGGGCTGGATGTGGCGCCTGCCATGCGCCAAGTGTTTGGGACATTAAGTTATTATAGGTGTACGGTGGAGCCCAACATCCGGAGTGTGAAAATACTTCGGGCCGTGCTGGGAGCATGCTTGTAATCCCAGCACTTTGGGAGGCTGAGGCAGGTGGATCACCTGAGGTCAGGAGTTTGAGGCCAGACTGGCCAATGTGGCAAAACCCCATCTCTACTAAAAATACAAAAAAAATTAGCCAGGCACAGTGGCGTGCACCTGTTGTCCCAGCTACTTGAGACGCTGAGGCAGGAGAATCACTTCAACCTGGGAGGCAGAGGTTGCAGTGAGCTGAGATTGTGCCACTGCACTACAGCCTGGACGACTGAGCAAGACTGTCTCACAATAATAACAAAAAGAAAAAACAAGAAAGAAAAGAAAGAAATACTTCCCAGGGTTCCCAGGGATGCTAATCTGCAGCCTGGGCTATCTGGGAGGTAGCGATCTCCAGGCTCCTCCCCAGCCTGTAGCATCAAGTACAAGGTACTAGGTTAAAATAACCAACCAGTGGACTGGGCACAGTGACTCACACCTGTAATCCCAGCACACAACACTTCAGGAGGCCAGGGAAGGACGATTGCTTGAGCCCAGGAGTTCGTGACAACCCTGGACAACATAATAAGATCTTACCTTTACTTAAAAAAAAAAAAATGGCCAGGTCTGGTGGCATGCAGCAGTAGTCCCAGCTACTTGGGAGGCTGAAGTGGGAGGATTGCTTGGGTCCAGGAGTTCAAGGTTGCAGTGAGCTGTGATTGTGCCACTGCACTCCAGCCTGGGTAAAGACCCAGACCCTGTCTCAAAAAAAAAAAAAAAAAGAAAAAAAAAAAGAAAGAAAGAAAGAAAGAAAATAAAGGAGGCAGGGTGTGGTAGCTCATGCCTGTAATCCAGCACTTTGGGAGGCTGAGGAGAGCCGATCATTTGAGGTCAGGAATTGGAGACTAGCCTGGCCAATACAGTGAAACCCCCTCTCTACTAAAAAATACAAAAATTAGCCAAGTGGTGTGGTGGGCACCTGTAACAGCTACTTGGGAGGCTGAGGCAGGAGAATTGCGTGAATCTAGGAGGCAGAGGTTGCAGTGACTTGAGATTGTGCCACTGCATTCTAGCCTGGAAAGAGAAAGAAAGAAAGAAACAGAAAGAGAGAGAGAAGGAAGGAAGGAAGGAAAGAGAGGGAGGGAAAAAGAAAGAAAGAAAGAAGAAAGAAAAAAAGGAAAAAGGAAGAAAGAAAAAGAATAAAGGAAAGGCAGGAAGGAAAGGAATGAAGGAAGGGAGAGAGTGATAGAAGAAGGGAGTGAGGAAAAAAGAAAAAGAAAGGAAGGAAGGAAGAGAGAAAAGAAAGAAAAAGGAATAAAGAAAGATAAAGAAAGAAGAAAGGAAAGGAAGGGAGGAAGGAGGAAGGACGGGAGGGAGGGAGAGAGGGAGGAAGGGAGGGAGGGAGGGAGGGAGGAAGGAAATAACCAACAAGTGGCACCTTCATGTATTGGCAGGTACTTGACGGGTCGGAGAAGGATGACGCATGAGTCTTGAGTTAGGAAGACGACCCCTTTTGCAGGGGAAGGAGGCACATGAGAGAGGAAGGTGAAGGTCAGAAAGACAAGACAGGGGCGGGGCTTTGGGGTCAGCGGTGGTGGAGGGAAGAGGCAGGATGTGTTTTCCAGGAAGCCCGCGCAGGGCTGGGTCCGGGCATGCTGAGCCTCGGCGTCCTTCCGGGTGTCCTCGGTGTTCTGCCTAGTACACCTGAAAGTGTGCGGACGTGGCGCCATCCTTCCAGCAGCGCAGGGTGTCCACGGCGACAGAGCGGCAGAGCGGGCAGGTGCGCTCGCGGTCCAGCCACAGGCAGAGGCACTCCTCACAGAACACGTGCTGCGGGGACAGCAACCAGCAGGCACCAGGACGCTTTACTGTGCGTCCACCTTGGTCCCAGGAGCAGGAGACACCGCAGGGGACAAAGCAAACAACCCCTGCCCTGGGGCGCCTGCACTCGGTGGGGGAGACAGTGCGACTCTAAATACCGAGTATATCAGTAGTAAGTACCAAGATGAAACAGCAGGGGAGGGGCCGAGCGCGTGGCTCAGGCCTGTACTCCCAGCACTTTGGGAGGCTGAGGCGGGTGGATCGCCTGAGGGCAAGAGTTCAAGACCAGCCTGGCCAACATGGTGAAACCCCCTCTCTACAAAAAATACAAAAATTAGATGGGTGTGGTGGTGGGTGCCTGCAGTCCCAGCTACTTGGGAGGCTGAGGCAGGAGAATCACTTGAACCTGGAGGCAGAGGTTGCAGTGAGCTGAGATGGTGCCACTGTAGGTGGGGATGCTAAGGAAAACTTAACTGAGATATGAGATACTGACATTTGGGTAAAACTTGCAGGGGGGTGAGGAGTGAGTCCCAATGAGATCTCAGTGAAAAGCGCTCCTGGAAGCAGGAACAATATGTGCAAAGGTCCTGAGGCTGCAATGTGCCTGATGTGCGGGAGAAACAGCAAGGAAAGGGTAGCTGAGCTGGGAATGGGGGGGGATGGGAGAGGGAGATGAGGTCACAGAAGTGATGGGGGTGAGGGGTGCAGATGGAGTAGGGCCTTGAGGGCCACTGTGAGGTCTTAGGCTCTTATTCTGAGAGAAGTCAGGGGCCGTGGCAGGGCTTGGTGCAGAGGAGTGAACTGATACGATTTGTGGTTTAAAATGATCCTTCTGCCTGCTGGGTTGAGAATAGAACACAAGGATCAAGAGAATGGCAGGTGACTCTTGCTGCAATAAACAGATACATGCACGCATATGTTCACTGCAGCACTATTCGCAATAGCAAAGACCCAAATGCCCTACATTTGGAATCAACCCAAATGCTCATCAATGATAGACTGGGGAAAGAAAATGTGGTACACATACACCATGGAATACTATGCAGACACAAGAAGGAATGAGATCATGTCCTTGGCAGGGACATGGATGGAGCTGAAGCTATTCCGCTCAGCAAACTAACACAGGAACAGAAAACCAAACACTGTATGTTCTCACTCATAAGTCAGAGCTGAACAATGAGAACACATAGATACAGGGAGGGGAACATCACACACTGGGGCCTGTTGTGGGGCAGGGGGAGGGAGAGCATTAGGATAAAGAGCTAATGCATGTGGGGCTCAATACCTAGGTAATGGGTGGGTAGGTGCAATAAACCACTATGGCACACATCTACCTATATAGCAAACCTGTACGTCCTGCACATGCATCCTGGAACTTAAAATGAAATTAAATTAATTTAAAGAGAGAGAGAGAAAGGCAGGGAGATTGGAGAGACCAATGGGCTCCTCCATTCTCTGGCTGTATAATTTGGACAAGTAACACAACCTCTCTGTGCCTCAGTTTCTCCAACTTTAAAATGGGGATATAACCCACTCATTGGAAGATTAATTAACATGTCCAAAGTACTTAGATTTGACAACCAGATGCAGCACATGAGTCTTGATTGGATCCCAGGTGGGGTAAAAAAAATCCCAGCTACAAAGGACATTTTGAAAGCAACTGGAGAAATCTGAGTATGTACCATATCTTAAATAATATTTTTTTGTTAATTTAAAATTTCCTGGGTGGCCAGGCATGGTGGCTTACGCTTGTAATCCTAGCACTTTGGGAGGCTGAGGGAGGGGGATCACCTGAGATCAGGAGTTCAAGACCAGCCTGGCCAACATGGTGAAACCCTGTCTTACTAAAAATACTACAAAAATTAGCCAGGCATCGTGGCACATGTCTGTAGACCCAGCTATTTGGAAGGCTGAGGCAGGAGAATCGCTTGAACCCAGGAGGAAGAGGTTGCAGTGAGCCAAGATCATGCCACTGCATACAACCTGGGTGACAGAGTGAGCTAGACGCTGTCTCAAAAAACAAAAAAAATTTCCTGGGCATGCTAGTGGAATTGTGGTTATTGAGAGTATGTCCTCGTTCCTGGGAGATGCACATTGAAGTATTTAAGGATGAAGAATCTAAATGTCTACCACTTACTCTTAACCAGTTTAGGGGGAAAAGTTGATGCCAAAAAAAAGGGCAAATGTAAAATATTAACGATCAGTAAATGTGGTGAAGAATAGGAGTTTCATGCAACTTTTCCGTTGGTTTGAAATTTTTCAAAATGAAATGTTTGAGGAAGATGATAATATAAAAATCTAAAAAAATGTTTTTTGAAAAGCAAAACCATAAAAAAGAAGCTGGGCACAGTGGCTCAGGCCTATAAACCCAGCACTTTGGGAGGCCAAGGCAGGAGGATGGCCCAAGTTTGAGTTTGAGAGCAGCCTGGGCAACATAGTGAGACCTCCTCCACCCCCCATGCCTCTGTCTCTACAAAAAAAAAATCAGCTGGGCATGGTGGCATGTGCCTGTGGTCCCAGCTACTCAGGAGGCTGAGGTGGTGGGAGGATCACTTGAGCCCAGGAGATTGAAGCTGTAGTGAGCGATGATCATGCCACTGCACTCCAGCCTGGGAGACAGAGTGACACCTTGTCTAAAAAGTAAAAATAATAAAATAAAAAAGAAGGCACTTGGAATAATGACTGGCAAAGAGTAAGTGCTCTATAAATGTTAGCTATTATGATAGTAATAATGATTATTATCTTATGTGTTTATTGGTTATTATCTGTCTCTCCATGCCGGGCTGTAAGCTTCTTGTAAACTCCATTCACTCCTAGCATGGTATACAGTGGGTGCCTAATTGTAGACAGCACTCTGAAGGAGATTTCCATGGTGTTATGGAGGTGTGTGACATAGGGACCACTTTGATCCAAGGGATAGTTAGGGAAGGCTTCCTGGAGGTGGGGACACTTGAGTTGAGGCCTGAAGAACATTTAGCAGTTAACTGGGCAGAAGAGAGGGGATAGAGATAGAACATTCCAGGCTGAAAAAACCTCCTGTGCAAAGCTCCTGAGATAGGAAGATGTTTGAGGCAGTTGAAGAGAGCCGATGTGGCTGCAGTTGAGGGTGCCTGGGAGAGAGGGAGTGAAGAAAGGAGGGCAGTCCCCACAGAGCCGCAAAGACCGTACTGGATTCTCACCATGGCCTGGAGGGCAGGACCCAGGCGTCAGCAAACCCCACAGCTTCTACAGATTCCTCTTATGGCAACGATACCCTCTATGATGGCCCTTCTCCTGCCCAGCCCCATCCTCCCATCCTGGAGTAACTGATGTCATTGACATGTCATGTGACCTTCAACTCAAGGCTTATTCATAGTCTTTCAACAAGTGTAGGCCACCACGTGCCTGGCTAGGTTGTGTGTGTGTGTGTGTGTGTGTGTGTGTGTATTTTTAGTAGAGAGGAGATTTCTCCATGTTGGTCAGGCTGGTCTTCAACTCTTGACCTCAGGTGATCCACTTGCCTGAGCCTCCCAAAATGCCAGCCACTGTGCCCAGCTGGCTCTGGGTGGTTAGCTGCTCCCCCTTGTGCCTCCTGGAGCACATAGTTGGGGTTAAATCAGTCATCTCACCCACCCCCCAAATTCTATCCAGACACTCCAGGTCTTTTGCCCAAAGATCCAGAGCAGGCAGGTGGGGGTTTGGGATAAGGGCCTACACTCACAGGAGCCAGCCCCAGTTTGAGAGAAGAGGCTCTAAGCAGAAGAGAGGGGCATTTCTTGACCTAGCACTTGGTGTTCCGTGTGATCTGAGAAAGAAGGAAGCAGTCAGGCAGGGGTCCAAGGCAATAGATGCAGGTGAGGAGGAGAACAGGCACTCATGAGCCATTACCCTTTATAAAGCATAACATGCTGGGCGTGGTGGCTCACACCTATGATTCCAACACTTTGGGAAGCTAAGGTACGTGGATCACTCAAGGCCAGGAGTTCGTGACTAGTCTGGCTAACATGGAGAAATCCCATCTCTACTAAAAATACAAAAATCAGCTGGGCGTGGTGGTGGGTGCCTGTAGTCCCAGCTACTCAGGAGGCTGAGGCAGGAGAATCTCTTGAACCTGGGAGGCAGAGGTTGCAGTGAGCCGAAATTACGCCATTGCACTCCAGCCTCGGCCTCCCAAAGTGCTAGGATTACAGGCGTAAGACACTGTGGCCAGCATTTTTTTTTTTTTCCTTTTTTGAGACAGGGTCTCCCTCTGTCACCCAGGCTATGGTGCAGTGGTGTAATCTCGGCTCACTGCAGCCTCTGCCTCTTGGGCTCAAGCAGTCCTCTCACTTCAGCCTCCAGAGTAGCTGGGACCACAGGTGTGCATCAGCACATCCAGCTAATTTTTGTATTTTTTTGAGAGATGGGGTCTCGCTATGTTGCTCAGGCTGGTCTTGAACTTCTGGCTTCAAGTAATCTGCCCATCTTGGCCTCCCAAAGTCCTGGGACTATAGACATGAGCTACCATGCCTGGCCTGTGACTAGATTCTTGTTCCATAAAAACTGTGACATAATAAGTATTGGTTGCTTTAAGCCACTGAGTTTTGGGGTAACTTGTTACATGGCAATTGATAACTGATATAAAAAATGTCTAACTTTGTAGTGCAAACTCTTATTATAGAGAATCTGGGAAAGGATGTCTAAAGCGTTTAATTATGAAAAATGACATTACTGAAAATGTGGCTACTAGCAGACAGGCCACACACACAGACACACAGACACACAGACACACACACAGACACAGACACACACAGGTGTGTACCCCTAACTTCAGATCCTCTTTAATCACACAAACCAGGCCAGCCATGCCGAGACTTAGAATTAAACACTAAGACTAATATTGGTATAACACACTAAGATTTTCAAAGCCCATATATAGACCTATACATCATCTCATATGACTCTATTAACAAAAATGTACGAGCTGCCCAGCAGCTCGTCCATCTTGGGTGACAGATGACAGGAGGGTCAGGGTTACAATTAAATGCACT